TTATCGATCAAATTCACCAGTGGAACTGGCAAACTCAACACAGTCAGCATATGTCGGAACAGCTGTTACAAGGCGACCTCTCTCCCATTCTCCCGGATCTGATCTCGTCCCCTTCCCCGGTTGCCTCCTTCCCCAGCTGGGATGATGACTCCGTCTCCACCAGCTGCTTCAGTGAGATCGATGCGCACGATTCTGACCCTCCTGATCCCCCACCTTCCGTCCTCATCAATCAACATGGAACCGTGTCCAACTACAACGCCACCACGACTATTGCTACCTCCATCGCCGAGTTCGCTCAGGATCACCTATTCCTCTCCGAGACATCTGCCGACATGGAACCAGCGTTTCCGGTCATCTGGGACTCTGGAGCCTCGGTGTGTGTCACACCCCACAAGCGTGACTTTGCCGGCACGCTCCACCCCCCTCCCAACTCCAGAACCAAAGGGATCGGAGGCCCCATTGAGGTCACCGGATGCGGACATGTTGCATGGACGTTCAAGACCACCACCAACACCTTCCGTACCTTGATTCTGCCAGCTGTTCTAGTTCCCTTGGCCAACCAACGTCTTTTGAGCACCAGCTCCCTCCTTCATTGCCACTCCAAGGAAACCATCTCCCTTTCCTCTGACGGCATGCTACTATCTGGAACCACTAGCGACGGTGCCTTTACACGACCCATTGCAGTGGACATCTCTCCCACCAACAACTTACCTACCGCTACGGCATACCGCGTCATTGATTCTCCGCAACCAACTCCCGAGGCCCACGCTGACGATGTCACCGTGGCAATCGACAACCTCCACAGTTCCCAAGGCCCAGCTCCGACATCATCTCGAACTGATCGAAACTCTTTCATGATGTCCAGCATTGCCAAAGTCAGTCGCCATAACATCAACCTTGACAACGGTGACAAGGAATGGTTGAAATGGCATCAAGGTCTTGGCCACCGTTCATTCGCCATTGTACGCTTCTTGTTGCGCACCGGAACCCTTGCTAAAAGTCAACGCATGCGGACGCTGCACACCCACATTTCCAAACGAGTTGAACCACCCAAGTGTGCCGCATGTTGCTACGCCAAAGCTAAACGACGTGCCATTGCCAAGGCCAATCAAGGATGCTCCCAGCTCTCTTCGCGCCAACACTCTTTATCCCGGTCAAGAGGTATCCGTCGATCATCTGTTTCATCTGTTCCTGGCCGAACCTACACTGGCTACGGGAAAGGTCACAAGTCTGAGATGTTCCGCGGATCTGCTATCTTTGTTGACAATGCGACAAGATATATCTTTGTTCAACATCAGAAATCCCTGAACACCCACGAAACATTACGGGCCAAGGAAATGTATGAGGCGAATTGTCGTGACCTTGGTGTCGTTCCTCAAAAATACCGCAGTGACAACGCTGCTGTCTTCCACAGCCACGAATACAAGCAACATCTTGAAGCCTTCAGTCAAACTCAAAAGTTCGCTGGTGTCGGCCAACACCATGCCAATGGCATCGTCGAAAAGGCCATTCAGGACATTCAATCTACTGCCCGCACATTACTCATTCACCTTGCCATCCGTTGGCCCGAACAAGCCGATCTCGCTCTCTGGCCAATGGCCATCGACCATGCAGTCTTCCTCCACAACCACCTCCCCGACGTCGACACTGGTCTCACACCCATGGACAAATTCTCCCGCCAACGTTGGCCCCACTCCAAATATCACGATATCCATGTGTTTGGATGCCCCACCTACGTTCTCGACAAGAAAATCGCGGATGGTAAGACTCTTCCCAAGTTCTCGCCACGCTCCGAACGCTACGTTCACCTTGGGTTCAGTCCTTTTCACGCAAGCACAGTGCCGCTGGTCCTCAACCCTCGCACCGGTGCCATCACACCCCAATTCAATTGCATCTTTGATGACTGGTTTGCCACATTATCCGCCAACGTTGATGATGTCCCCACCTTCATGGAGGAACAGTGGCAGCATCTCTTTGGCGACTCCCAATTTCAATTTCCCACCGATGATAATGATCCTCCTTCCTTGACACCTCAATCTCAAGTCCCCCTATCTTATGAGCTTTCCGCTCTTGATTCCTTTGAACCTTCCACCAGCCGCTACGCCGGCACCCAACCTACCCTTTCTGATCCCTCCGTTTTCCGTGAACCCTCCCAACCTTCGTTTGAGAGGGAGAGTGTGTCAGTTGAGAGGGAGCAGTCTCCTCCCGCCAATATTCCTACATCCACAAATACTGGCAATCCTACTCCATCACCCCTTCAGAGGGAGCAACAAACTCAGTCAAAGAGTCCCCATATAACGGCACGCGAAACTCCCATTGACCTACCATCATCATCAATTCCGCCAACATCATCATCCGGACCACCATTGCGACGCAGTACACGATCCACCAGAGGTAAACCGGCTCCCATTCTCGATCCCAACCCCCATTCTAAGACCTACGTCTCCAAACCTTTGCCATCCTCCAACTTGGCCGAGATCAATCCATCAAACGATCCCGACTTCAATGACACCGAAAACCTCCATTCGTTCCCAAAGGACACTCCATTTCTTGCCAACGAGGATCTGGTATTGACCACCAGCCATCCTTCATACAGACGATTCAAGACTCAACCAGAGTCAGATGATGGTGGTATTTGTGGATTCTATGACCTCCATTTCTCCTACCTTGGCTACACCACCACAAACACTCCCAAATTTGTGTTTCTTGACAGCAAGGCACCACCTGATTCGATCGAATTTCTCAAAACTGGCACCACCGACCCTGATATTTTAAGCTGGGATGAAGCTATGGCTGGTCCTGATCGAGACAAGTGGCGTGAGGCTGCCTTGAAGGAGATCAGAGCACTCGAACACAAGCGCACATGGTTGGAAGCCCCAGAATCCAATGCCACAGTCAGAGTAATTCCTGGCACTTGGGTTTTTCGAGTCAAACGCGCGCCAGATGGATCCATCATCAAATTCAAGGCCAGATGGGTATTACGAGGTGATCTTCAGGACCTGGACATGGACACCACCGCTGAAGTCGTCGCTTGGTCCTCGGTCCGCACATTTATGGTCCTTAGTCTCAAGCTTGGATGGGTCATGAAGTCGATCGATTTCACCAATGCCTTTCTCCATGCCAAACTACCAGACAATCTGGAAATGTTTGCTCACCTACCAAGAGGTTTCTACTCTAATATGAGAAGTATCACTGGTGAACGAACAGTACTACACCTCAAGAAGTCTACATATGGGACAACTATTGCTCCAAGGCTATGGTACGAACATTTAATGAAGGCATTTCACGAGCTTGGATTTGAAAGCTCCTCCTACGATAAATGCTTCCTTATTCGCAAAGACATGATGATTGTCGTTTATGTCGACGACTGCGGTATCAGCACTGACAAACCAGAGAAAATCGATGAACTTGTCAACCAGCTGAAGTCGAAATTCGCCAGATGAAGGATGGTAGATACCACCTCCTCCAAGAAGGGCTCATCAAGAAGGTGCTCAAAGCCGCCAAGATGACCGACTGCAGTCCCAATCACGTTCCGGCTGCACCAACCCCACTAGGAAAGGACCTTAACGGAGAACCTTGGTCCCAACATCCCTGGCGCTACAGCTCAATCGTTGGGATGCTAATCTACCTCTGCACAAATACTCGCCCAGACATCAGCTATGCAGTCTCCTGTGCGGCCCGCTTCAACAGCAATCCAAAAGTCAGCCATGCCACCGCCGTCAAGACAATCCTTCGTTACCTCAAGAAGACATCCGACAAAGGGTTGATTGTGAACTTTAATGGGACTCTTGACCTTGAAGCATACTGTGATGCAGATTTTGCAGGACTGTTCAAATCTGAGGCTCCATATGATCCAGCAGTGTCTCGGTCTCGTGGCGGATATATCATTTTCCTTGGAGGAGTTCCTCTCATTTGGAAAAGCTCGCTCTTATTGTGCATTACTCTCAGCACTCTCAAGGCTGAATATGTTCAACTTTCTCGCTCCATGACGGTTCTTCTGGGGCTCAAGAATCTAATCGAAGAACTTCTTCCACGGCTCCAACTTCCAAACTTGACCGCTTTTGTTTGCTCCATCATCTTCGAAGACAATGCTGGTGCACTACTTCTCGCTATCAGTCAACAAATCACCAATCGCACCCGCTATTTGAGCCAGTTCTATCATCATTTCTGGTCCTTTGTCCATCGTCCTCAAGATGGCCCTCCTCAAAACAACCCCAATGATCCTTGGCATGACGGAAAAATCAAAGTATCCAAGATTACCACTGATAAGCAACGAGCAGACATCTTCACTAAAGGTCTGACTCAAGTTCCCTTCGAACGCAACCGATTCTCCATCAACGGATGGTAATCATTCTCTCTTTGAGAGGGAGAGTCAGAATATATATTCCGATGCGACATGTGTGATACTCCACAACACGTGTCATATACAAACGAAAATCCCACGATCCACATTTTGGTGTGAAACCAAAAATTCACATACTCAACACAAGCCGTTGAACTTTTGGTGTATCAATCTTCATGTGATTGTTTGAACACATTGAAATAAGCGAATAGTTAACCGATGAATGGCAGTTGAGCAATCGGAGACGTCGCTAAACTCAACAAGTTCTCACTGCCATATCGTCACAATTTTAGTAAATCTGCACTTTTACATCAAACTATTGTCTCTCAAGTTTTATACTTCTATCAAACTACTTCGCTCCAAATACATAACAGCTCTGTCTACAGATATTTTCTGACTCATAGTATCATTGTGACAGCATCGTCAACAGCAATCAGTTCCGCTTCTGTACTGCTTCTGCTGTTTAGCTTTTGCTTCTTTGACATCACTTGAGCTGCACCTCCTCCAAAGGACAGAGTGCCGCCAGTATGGCTCTTGAAATCTGGATGCACCGCAAATGATGCATTGATCATCCATTTCATGACTCGTAGTGATTCTGCGGAAAGTGTCAGGTGATACAACAATGCATCATGCAAACACACTTCTTCCAATCAGACTCTGTAGGTTCTCAAACTCTTGAGGCAAGAATAGTAATTGTTGGATGGATATCCAAACGAGCTCTCTTAGAGACATAAAGTCCCCTTGCAACAGTAGTATGGAAGATTTGACGGTACTCAGCACTGAGTAACTTCCCTTTACCAGCTTCCAGTAAATCGTTAACAGCTGCTGGTGTTTCCTGCTTTGAATCCTTGTTGAACTTGATAGGAAAGTCTTCCAACATGTTCTTGACATAGTCATCCATGCGGATCTTGAGTTTTCCTTTCACCGAGAAATCCAAAGTCATTCCAAGATATCTGTGTATCTTTCCTCTGACGATTTTACATGCCTGGATCAAACCATATCTCATGTTCAACCACTCAGCAAATTTGTCATTCACTTTCGGGTCCATGTGACTTGACATAAGATCGTCAACATGAAATCTGATAGTTTGCTGTTTTTCATTAACAACTTTGTTAGCAACACACGGGTCATACGGATTGAAAACAAATCCCTTTGCCACCAAATCACTTCAAAACTGATTATAGAATAGGAGGCTCGATTGCAACATCCCATAAATAGCACGTAGTACCCGCACATAGATTACTCGCTTTCCGTTCTCTAATACAACGTATTTACGATACCCTGGGGCCATGTCAATCAATGTCTGGACCATCATGCCAGTGATTTTCATGTAGACGCTATCTTTTCCTTCCTTAGCATCAGGCATATAAGTTTGAATGAAAGCGTTATGCACGTCCAGCATCATTACATCTCTACCTTCGTGTGCATCAATAATACAAGTAGTGGTGATTGCTTCTTGTGAAGCAGTTGGACTTGCAGTGTCCTCTCGCGATAACCATTCACGAGTTCCATTGCCTCGGAATACTAGGCGACCTTTAATTGTCTTTTCGAATTGCTTCTCCGTGAGTAACATCATCGCTGACTGGGCCTTCTTTTGCTCAGACGCGGTCATGTCTTTAACAAATTTGGGAGTGAAACAATCTCTCAGGAGCATTTGTCTCAATTCCTTATCCACAGCATCCTTTCCATCATCACCAAACTTCTTCAGTCCTTGATTGATGTAATACTGTTGAATGAAGTTCAGACCTTCATCAGTATCAA